ATTCAGTTTATTAGATATTCATTCAAGGCATTTAATATAAATTGTTTTGCTACTACTTGCAATACTGGAAGACCAAAGGAGAGTGCTGTTGTGAACTTTGAGATCAGGAGATCTGCAGAGAGAGGATTTCTACCTTAGTGAAAGTGCTGAGCACCAGGAAGATTACATTCTCTTCTGCATAAAGGAGAATTAAGCAGGTTTTCACCTCTCTTTTTGCAAAGATGGCAGCAATCTATAGTGCGGGGGTGGACTTTTCCCTTCTTCAGTGAGATGTTGGAGCACCACACAGACAGCGCTGGGCTGTGAGCAGCCTGGAGCAGAGGTGACTGGTGTTCGCTGGGCTAAACAAGGGATTTGGGTGCCTGAAGCCTGAGTGAAGAAGCAGATTTAGGAAACGGGGAGCAGCATAGAGGAGTAGGGATGAAGGTTGCATGAGGTCCAAAGGACAAAAGAAGCAGGATTTTTGCAGATCCCTGGCACTGCGCAGTGATTACTAGAGAAATGTTCATATAATTGAGAGGTGTCCAAGAAATGTAAATGGAAGAGTTTGAAGGTGGGCAAGCACGCAGTTCATCTGTGCTATCAGCAAGGTGTTTCCAAAGCTGATGAGCAAAGCACTTCCTTTGCCCCTTTTACGGCAAGTGAAGAAAGGAGCGGGGCTGTATTGAAATATGTGTGGTAGGAGCCCCGTTCATGTGAAGAGGCTCCATTCAGGGCCTTACAAAGGCTATGAGTCAACTGCAAAGAAAGGAGGCATTTCACAGAAACTGAAGTGTGACCCTTTGTTTTGCCTGACCCCAAGGTCCTCAGTGACACAAAAGGGGACCTCAGCACTGATTCTGCAGCAACAAATGCCTGTTGTGAGTGAGTGTATTTGAGGAGCAGTGACAAAAAGGAATGACCCGAGGTTCCTGTTTCCAGCCCTTGCTTCCCAAGGGACTGTCAAGGAGGGAGTCCTCCGTGCAGCCTGACTGAGGTAGGGGAGATGAAGGTGCTGGAAAGCTCTTCCTAGTGGATGCATTTCCCTTGAAAACGTCTCCCGAAATGCATGATCTGATCATCCACATGTACTATTAGGACACCTGGATAATGAGGTTTTTGGACTTTGCTCTGCAAAGTCTATAGAAATTAATATGTCTTTTATTCAGCTGTTACGTGAAGTGGGGTTTTTTCTAATTTAGGACTGGCAAGGGATTAGAGTGTCTTAGTAGCCCTGCCTTTGTTTTAACCTTCCATTAGTCCATGACTACTTTCACAATCAAAGTAGACATGAAAGGGATGTTTTGCTTTGCTCTTTACATTATTCCAGAGAGCCATAAGTCCCTATTTAAGTTCACGATGGAATCAGGGTGCAGAATGATGGATTTAAAGGTATCATAAAACTCTTCCTGGTAAGTAGTAGTCCCCAAATATATTCCAGTTGTGACCTGAGAGAGGCTGCTGGAGGCATCCCAAGCAGCCATGCACTGGCTCTGCAGATCCTTTGAGCTGAGGAAATTCATTTGCATATGGATGCCATGCTAAGGAGGCCAGCCTGGATTTCATTACTGCTAATGATGTGTGTGGGAGAAGTGATTTAGTTTATAGCCAGTGCCAGGCATGCCACAATGAGGAAGTACTTAATTCACACAAAGCTTTTTCTTGCTTCTAAGACCTAAAAATCAGGGTACTTCAAGCAGTTCCAGTGTTACAGATGCAGTGTCTTCATGACCACGAACAGAGCTGTGACTGAGGCGAGGGAAGGAGAGAGAAGGAAACATCAAGACAGTAGTAGTATTGATGTCATAGGGGAAAGGACAGGAGGAGAAATGAAAGGGAATGAAAAGCAGAAGAGAAGAAAGACCAGCGGAGGATGAAAAAAACCAGCAGGGAGAATTGGCTCTGCAGAAACTGTGGCTGCCAAGGCTGGATGTTTGGACTTTGGAGGTGACAGAATTTTCACTGGATCTTTGCTGCAGTTTTCACAACTCAAAATGCAGGCCTGCGGTAAGATGTGCATCTTCAGAGACAAGTTTCTGAGAACTGGGAAGGAGAAAAGGGACCCCAGGACACCACTGGAGTTGGAGTAGTTGGGAGTTGCTGCACTACCTGAAGGCATCTTCCTGCTCCACTGGAGCCACCTCTGCTTTCCTGTTCTAATAGACATTGCCTCAGACAAGGGGGAAAGGAGACGGGCCTGGGGGCAGGTTCCTGGCATCTGCTTCAGGGCTGGAAGGGGCTACTATGCTCAGGCAACTTCAGGAAGTGCTATTTGAACTGGGATCAGTGTCTTGGATGGTCTCTAAGCTGTGAGTGATAAATTCATCAAGCAGAAGAAAGGATCCAGAAAGAAGGAATAGGTGAGTGAGGCAAATAAATCAGAGGGATAAGGCACACCATACTAGCATGTTGAAAGTGTCTAGGCATGCACTGCCCCCAGGACAGAATTTAAAAGGTTCAGAAGGCTTCGAGGAGGAACCCAATTATGGGGTTTATGGGTACCAACCCCTCTGGTGTTTTACACTCCCCAGCTATAATTGCACAGAGTAGCAGGGAAGAAGGGCTGTGAGCTGTTATCCATTGCTGACCATCCATCTTCAGCCCACAGTATGAAAACCTGAACAAAGAACTTTCAGGAGGAATTACTCCTGCCTTATTCATGGCACAGCATCTGGTTGTAATGAATTTTAACTGTTTGGCTGCAATCACCCACAATGCATGCAATCAAAAGGGTTATGGCCCTGCTCACTCCTGCAGCAGCCTGGAAATGCTATCTCTGAAAATACAGTACGATTTTGGGAACCTTGATTTAAGCATTGTTGTTCTGCAATTTTCTGAAGAGGGAAATCAGCTGGTCAGTTGGACAGGGGGATGTGAACACCACTTCAGTAATCTGTGAATGGGAAAAGGAGCTTGGAGAGCTCCCTGATTTCTGCTTCATCCAAGTTGAACTCAAAGGGTATGGAACAGTGACATTTAGCTAGGGTTACTGGAAATTAAATATTGTTTACTTGATATTGCAATTGAATTCAGAACAGCTGTAGGATGTCTTTAAAGAACAAGTCCCAGCTTTAGCATTTGTGTGTCCCTGAGAAAGTACTGAGATTTGCTGAACTGATGGCCTTTGCATGTGGTTTTAGGCCAACTGTCGCCTCTTGAATGTTTTAGTATGTGCAAGTCACTTGAAGATCTTCATACCCCACTGTCTGAAAACAGCACACAGACTTCACCAACTAGAAGAAACAAGAAAGATTATTTATCATAAAAGAAGAAGCAGGAATCAGCTAAATTTAGAAATTATCTGTAGAGCAAAGGTGAGACAAAATAAAGTGCAATTATCTCCTAGACCAAGGGGGAAGAAAAAGGAGAAAAAGAGATTATGCCAATGCATTATTTTTACTGGGCCTCTATTGGCAGACTGAATTGTGTTGGGGATGGCTCATTTCTCCTCAGCAACAACAGCAGGTTTTAAATAATGCTTCATATTTCCCAGGTTTAGCAGATGAAGAAAAGTAATTACTTGGGAGGCAAATAGAGCAGATTTGCAAACAGAGGAGAATGTTTTATGGCCAGACTTGCAAAAATTTGGCTCCTGCAGAGGCCAGAAGATTCTGCATCTGCTTTAATCAATGTGGGTTGGTCCTTGTTATTTCTTTGAGATCCTCATGGCTCTTAAGGGAGTAATTTTATATTCTCCAAGACAATGTGACTGTACAGCTTCACAGAGAGGGCAACTTACCTGCAAATTCAAAGTGCATGGCTTTTGAACTGTAAGAACTTCTGGTTCAGAGAAGTCTGAGTTTTGTGTTTTGTTTTGTTTTTGAAATGTCATTGGTCTTTCATGTCTGTATTTAGGACCCATTGGCCTCAAAATGTTGCATGTCTGAGCTTGCAAACACATGGATTCTACAGACAGCAGAAGACTCTCTGTTTGCTTTGATCAAGGGAGTCTGATATTTCTTTGAGATCCCCATGGTTCTTGGGGTGGTAGTTACAGACCATCTACAGCTATGTCAACGTTCAGCTTTTCTTCATGCAGAGGGCAACTCACCAGCAGATTGAAGCTGAATGTCTGCTCAGTTTATTAGCAAATGACCAAGAGAAAAACAAAAGAGCCTGGAAATGCTGAGCAATGCAGTGGTGGGTGTAGAGACACCCTGTGGTGTCACCTTGACTGCTTTAGTTTTCATGACGGTGGAACGGGGCTGGAGTGTGATGGGATTTGGTCTCCCTGTCTCCCTGTTTATAGTGACCCTGCTGTAATGTATCTTCTTTAAGATAAGATCTTCTTTAAACATAAGAGGCAAGGAGAGAGGGGAGAGGGCAAGCAAGCACTGTATATAGCATCTGTAACATTTAATTATATGAGACAGGGATTTTCCAATAGGCCTTGCAACACAAAGAACATTCAGCTATCAGCATCACAGTATATATTTTCTAAATCACAACACCCACACATTTCCTTAGCCAAGTAGAAGTTTTCCCTCCATGGCTGCATATCTAAAATTAGCCTGAAGGTCAAATCTGAATAGAAATACCCTTATCATTGAATGTGCTGGGAATGATTGGTGCAGTGGGCTCAATTTTCCCATCGAAAACCTTCATTTTTTTTTTTTTAAATAACAGTTGCTTTTACAGTCAAAGAGCTTGGAGAAAGGCAAAATGAGGCCTGCTGTATAAAATCAACATCAATATTCTGCTTTCACTGCAAGGCTATTTTTATTGCCAACCATTTTAAATGTAACAAGATGGATATAGTGAAGCCACAGTGTAAAAGATGCAGCAAGAGGCTTCTGAATAGCAAGGCTGAGCACAGACATATGAAAGAAAGGCCTTGAAACTCGGAAGATGTTTGTATATGAAGAAAGACACAATGAAGAATTCTAAGTTAAGAAATGTATTGTTGAGAAGAAGTGAATAGTTCAGGTCTAAAAATAGTTTTTTAACCTGCAGTTGTATTATGTGGGGACTAAGCAGCCTATGCTGCATAAACGCAAAAGCACCGTCCTGCAAGAAGTGCATTTATCAGCCACAGTGTTTTATTGAGTGCTTTAATAATACAAGTGTACATCAACTGATCCACAGTCAAAAGTGGCAGGTCCCTAAGAAATTTACAAGCACTTTTTTTTTTTTGTTTTTTAAGTAAATCAAAATACATATTAATTTGTTCAATGCAATAGCCTTTTGTGTGGGAAACAGAAGGCTAGTGATAAACACAGTCTTAGTAATGCACAGTGATTCTTGATTTTAAGCTTTTATACAAAACTTGTTCCCAGTAGCATGCACCCACCATTAAAGACTTCAGTACAAAAAAATAACCCTAAACACTACATTTAAGTAGAAATGAGATATAATTCTGAATTTGTTTGTTTTCCCCAAAACCACATGAAAGAAAAAAAAACCAACCCCACACATTAATACAAAGCTTTCTGATAAAGCTCTATACTATTACAGATCCAACATTCTTTGCACTGATAACCAAAATTCCCTGTCTACATTTGAGGGAAACAACTTTCAAGTTAACAGAACAAAAAAAAAAAAACAAAACCCAAAAAAACCCAGAACAAATAAAAATAAAAATAAACCAAAATGAAACAAACAAACAAAAAAGGGAAGTAAGGACGACCTTTTGTCACAAAATGGTTCAAGATTTAATAAAAAATAAGAATGAAGGGAAGGGCTATTGATGCACTTAGTGAATGTGCTTGCACAGGTCCAGCAAATCCTAGAGGAGGTTCCTATGTGGCGTATCGCTTGGTCCACTGTCTGGCCATTCTGTCGTGCTCTGCTCTGTTAGTCATATACTGAGTGGCAATGCTTCCAACCAGGGGGTCAGCTGAAAAGGAAACACAGACCGTGAAATGCACGTCAGCCCCGGGAAGACAAAAAAGCTATTTTTAGATCCACATTCCTTCAGGTCTCTCAGGTCTAATAAGGTGCCTCAGACAACCAGCCTTGTTTTCAAAGCAGGGAAGGAAGGAGATGAAGGTGAGATGGACGGCAATTAGCTATACATGTCTCATAAACATTTTTATAAAGTTCTACCTCACATAAAAATGTTTTGATAATTTTTTTTTTTAGCTAAAACTCACCTTCAGGTCATGTAATTTATTTACGGTATTAGACTCCCACAACTATTCATATTCTCACCTAAGAAGAGGATGAGCTCTAATTCTATTATCAGGTTGAATGTTGTTTCATTTTCTTTAAAATACTTTTAGTTTCGAAGCATAAAGAAATGTAAGGAATTAGGGAAGCAAGTACTATTTTCAAAGCAACAGAAGTTAATTCCAAATTTTGGGATTTTTGAATTTAATTTATGGGATCTTTCTGAGCATTCCTATGGCCAGAATGCTGCAGGATATGGTTTGGATCTACTAATTACTTCACAAATAATTAATCAAAACCAACCAGTCCCCTAAATAAAACAACACAAGACATTCCCACAAATGACTGTATTTCATCAACTTTTTTCTTTTTTCAGACAACATTTTTTCTCATTTTAAGCATACAAAATTTATAGTTTCCCCCTTTTTTGAGGGGATATTTGATATCTTGGTATTTCTGCTGTGACAGTAAATGTTCTTAGGTTGTACCATGCAAGTTCAGAGGCACTGATACCACACTTTTCCCTGACTTGGGACAGATGAAGATGACTTCTTGTGAAAGCCAGGTATTAATCAGCTTTGCTGTTGTCTGGAGATGGTGCCACTGAACAATCTGAGCATCGGCTTTCTCGGTACAGTTGTAATCTGAGCATGGTGCTTGCACCGTTAACCACGGAATTTCCCGGGACAAGATGTCAGGCCTTCTGTCAAGCAGAGTAAATCTGGGCTTTTTTGTTTGGTTGTTGATGATAAGAGTTTATGATAAGGGAAACACGTTGGCTTAGCCAAAAATCGTTTGATTGGCTGACTGCCAATCTCACCGAATATTAGTGAGTAATATCTACTAAAAAAAGGTTCTTTTGCTTTCCATGCATAACCTGCACTTTCAGGAAGAGCCCATGATTTGAATGTTAAGTTTCCACCTTCTAAATTAGTAAGACAAATTATCACTGTGACTGCAGTGTACCAATTCCCTGCAGTCTCAGTCCTTCAAACACTTACTGCATGAGCTTACCTTTAACATCTTAATATATCCAGAGGAGGTCACTGAGTCACTGGACTTGATGATTTTTACATGCATGTGTGTAAAAGAAGTGTATCTAAGATAGAGTCTGAGATAGAGTATAAAAGTTGTAGACTGGAAAGTATATCACCTTTACATCCACAGCCAGGAAGAAAAACTCCATAGGGGATTTTCTGAGGGATTTTGTCCTGTGCAAACAGGAGGTTAACAGTCTACGTAGCAAAAAGTTATTTGTGGCTGGAATGAGGTTTGAGAAGCACTGCCGGGTAAATGGGGAACCTGAGCAATAGAAAAGGGAAACATTTCTCTTTGCAAAATATTTCCCTAAACAGCCTAGGAAAACCTTGTCATAGTGTAATGGCAGCTTGGGGATGAGTGTGAGAGCGCTGCTGCAAATTCCCACATTCTCCTCGGACACAAAGCCCCTGTGCAAAGAAATACTTCCACACACTTGTGGAAAAATGGAGACTAAGGGCTGAACTTGAAAGGAATCTTTGAAGCAAAATTTGAAGCATATCCTGGTTTTCATGCTTGTAGGGGAAGGTGGGGTTTGGCCTCTGAAGCATCTGGCTGGGAAGGGTTGCAGGAATATCACAGCGTTACCATCTGGAATGCGGCAAGTTCTTATTGAGGTTTAGTGTGTATTTAAAGTGGTGCCTCTGAGATCTTTATAAAACCTTGTATGAGTCAGTGAACAGTGATGTGCTCTAGTAAAGGTTTATCTAGTTCAAATCTGGAAGTTTTTTCATGTGCAGGATGAATGTTTCTGAGAAAGCATGTCTTTCGCATTGAGAGCTGTAAATTGATTTCCTTGATATACTGCAAGGCTACTGAGGATCACATCATCATCCCCAAACCTCGATGATAATTAGAATGTTTGGCTTCCTAGTGTGAGGTTTCATCTATATCTCCTTTTAGGAGCAAGAAAGTATTTCAAAATCATACATCTTTACAAGGCTTTGGAAGGTACAGGCTCTTCCCCCAACCTCCTTCCAGCATGGGACGATGTCTCCTTTCCTTTGGGGTGAGAGAATCAGTGAGAGGTATTCTTGGTAAAGTGTGGAAATCTGTTCAAGTCCAGTAATGTAAAGAACTGGGCTGTGTATTTATCCGTGTGCTCGAACCTTTGTCTCTGCAGTGTTTTGTTTGGCAGCTGAAAGAGTGGAGGTGATGGCCTGTCAGATGTCTCAGGTATACACAGCTTTGGTTGTAGGTGTGTAAATTCCTGCTGAGTGACCTGAGAATCAACTATCAATCATCTCAGGTGCTTCCCCCAAGCCAGTGCCTCCCTCCACCGGGGTCTGTCTGTATGAAGCAGGACTGTGGAAGCAAAGAGAGGTCCTTGCTTGCTGTAACATGAGCAGGACCAGCTGCACCCACAGCCAGCTGCAAAGCGAACACTACTAAAAGGTACTTTCAGTAATTACAGCAACGACATTGATTTTTTTCAGTCAGGCTGTGTGTTTTGTTGGTTATAACAATATTGAATAAAAAACCAAATCCACTGTTTGGGAAAGCCACTTGCTCATTTGAGAGCAAGGAATTTCTTTCAAGGAATAGAAAAAATAGTTATCGACAGCGAGGCTCAGCTATTTCACATGTCTCTCAGAGGGTCTGGAGCTGTGTCACACGTAAATATGTATGAGGACTTTAAAAAGGACACTTTAATAGGTGCTTCAAGAACTGGCTTATTTTAGCAGTTGCTGTGAAGCCATAAAGCCATCAGGAGGCACAACTGCTTTGTTTGGGAAGCCAGGACAGCTGGTGAGGAGGCAAATGTAAACTTCAGACCAGAGCCACCCAAGCAGGGGCGCAGCGACCAATTTGAGGCAGCACACTGCATTTTTGCCATGGGATGTAAGGACAGTGTGTGAGCTCCAGAAATGCCATTGGTCTCTCCCTGCAGCTGTGTGGGAAGCTCCAGCCAGCAGGTCCAAGGAGACACAGCTCTCAACACTCCATGAGTCACGAGTCACCACTGCTACATAATTTGCTGTGGCGAGCCGTAACACAGAGATTGCAAGATACATTGCAGCATCTTAATTAAAACAATTAAAAGATTTAACTGCCATCATGCACAAGCCTTTGTTATAGTGCCCAAGTCCTACAAAATATCAAGTAAGAGGAAGAAATTCTACAAAACACCAAGTATGAGGAAGTAACAATGGTCCCCATTTACCCCCCTATGCTATGTAGCACATGGTTGAGCACCACCTGGTGCTGCACTGTTTAAGGGTTATTGTGAAATATCCATTAGTAAGGCCAAATATGTATCTATAAAACATCCACTGCATAAACTATCTAATTAAGAGATGAAAAGAAAAATTGGATCTCAAAATTCATAACAACATTTCTCTTTTGTTTCCATTTCCCACTACCAGAAAGCTTTCTTATTTTCCATTTGCATATATCTGTGGTTTTAATCTTGATGCTAGAAATTTGTTTCTATAACTAGTCAACTGCTCTAGTTTTTAATGTCGTTTTTTTTTTTTTTTTTTTTTTTCCTTAAAGGAGTAGCATGATTCATCAATGAGTCAGGGTTAATTTCAGAATTTTACTCTAAACAGGACTGTGTCCAAATGACAACAATTACCAGGGGATAGGAATATAAAGCTGTGCCAGGAATGTGTTGCTGAAACAATCTTGTGAAATTAAAATAAACCAACAATAAATTAATAAAAAAGCATATCTATGCAACTCATGGCCTGGTAGGAGATCACCAGATGTGTGGTGTCTGGCTTGAGAGCTGGGATGGCACCCTCTGTGCACAGCTCCCTCTCTGTCCTGTGGGCAGAAATGGGCTTCCCAGCCTTTGGGGTGCTGGTGGCTGTGTCAGCCTGGAGGAGCTGCTGCAACTCTGTGGACCCAGAAATCTTTAGGCCTTGTAATTTACTGTTCCTTCTAAAACCCCACCCTAGGATGCCTCCATAACCTTTAACTTGTGTGAAGGAAATTTTTTATCCTGTACTCTGATTAACTCCATGCAAAATATTAACACACCAGGAATTACAGGATCAAATTTCACATCAGAGGACAGTGTATGAGTAACGAAAATGTATAAAAAAGGCACCATATTATACAGGCAAGGACAGGAGCTATGGTTCAGCAACGTAGTTTACAAGGAAAATGTCAATCTAAAGAACTAGGCTATGAAAAAAATCTTCTGGATGATTTACAGCAAGACTGCAGCTGCTAAATCCCTCCTCACCTCACCATATGTAATCCTCATGTTATATTAGAATTCATGAAACTGCCCTGTATTTATGTTATTTTGAAAGCTGGGTGAGCTGGAGCTTGTCCCTAGCTTAAAAAGGTTGGATGCACTGCTTGACAATACCTTGTCATCTTCTTTTGCAGCCACTTAATATGACTGTCTAAGGAAGAACATTTGTGTCACATGTCTATTGTAAGGCTAATCAAATTTACAGTTCAATTCTAGGGAGTTAATGCTATTGGGGATTTGGATGAGCTGAGGTTTGGTCATTACAAAATTTCAGCTGTGTTTAATGCTAGTTAAACTGCTTTATCATTCAGAAGGCAGACTATAATTCTTCCTTAAAAACTACTTTCCCCCCAAATAAATGAAAATATATTGCTACACGGTATTTTTCTCAGCTTGTATTTTTACAGCTATTTCTATGTCAGCAAATAGCAATTTCAGAGCAGAATTCATCTCCTGGGCTTTGCAATGCTCTTTTAAAAATA